GAAAATCTCTGATATGCTAGAAAACTGTAAGTCTTATACACTTAAGGAATTTAATATACTAATGAAACCGCACTTTGAAAATAACTGCTCAACGATCTTTCAAAACATTGATGGTAATAAAACAAATTTTGACGCCTTCACCATGGAGTTAGACAGAATAGCCGGAAAGTTCCAATTCATTGGACTTGCTGAAACTAATGTTACAATAGACGAAAGTAGTGTTTACCATTTAGAAGGGTATAATCGTTTTTATCAAGATAAATATGTCAATAAAGTAAAAGGAAGTGGTGTAGCGTTATACATAAAAGACACTCTTAATGGAGTCGTAAACGATGAGTTATCATGGGTATCAGAAAATCTAGAAACTATATTTGTAACCGTCCAACATGATGAACCCCTCCATGTAGGCGTAGTGTATCGTCCCCCAAGTGGAAATTCCACCGAAGCACTCAACGAACTTAAGAAGATTATTGAACAATGTCCAAAGAATAATGTCCACCTAATTGGCGATTTTAACATTGATTTACATGATGAAAACACCAAACTTGTTCAGGACTTCGAAAACTTGATATTAGGCCTTGGTCTGTCACCTCTAATCTCCACCTACACGCACCACAAACCAGGATGTAAGCAATCATGCATTGATAACATACTCACTACCAACATAGAAAATTCTGTTTACTCTGGATCAATAAGTACTTGCATCAGCCATCATCACGCTGTATTCCACATATTCAAATCACCCCTAGTCAGTAATGAGGCCCACGAGCAAAAGTACACCCAATACTACGATTATTGTGGAACTAACGTTGATCATTTTGTTAAAGCACTCGATAACGATTTGTTAAATAGGCCACCAGAGAATTTCACCGACTTTGTCTCAGTATTTAATCAACAACTAGACAACGCATGTAAACTAGAGCAACCTAAGTGTTCTAAACGAACCGCTAGGAATAATCCGTGGATTACGTCAGGCCTAATTAACTCTGTAAATAGAAAACATGAGCTTTATGAACTTAAGATAAAGGCAGGAAAAAAGGCATGTCTTAACACCTCAACACCCAACCAATCAGACTGTCTTTGTTATCACTGTACAAATAAGGTAATGCGTCATCAGGAATTTAAAGCACACCGGAAGTTATTAAACCACCTCATTAATTGTGCAAAACATAAGTATCACGGGGGAAAGATTGCTGAATGTATTGGTGACAGCAAGAAAACTTGGCAGATAATTAACGAATTACGTGGTAAGAAGAGACGTCAGACGAAACCTAACTTTATTATTGATAATGAGCGTGTAACCAATCGTCGTGTAATTGCAAATGAGTTCAACAAGTACTTTGCTTCCATTGCATCTAATCTTAATGAAGTGTATTCTCATGACTATTTAAGAATAAATGATTTACCAACATTTACCGACTACCTCCCGAAATCCATCACATCCAGTATTTATCTTAAAGACTGTGACAGTGCTGAAATGATAGAGACCATAAACGAATTAAAAAATGGTAAATCAAGCGACATACCTATTCATGTAATTAAGAAGTCGTGTCAAGTAATTGCACCGTATTTAGTGAAGTATTTCAATAGATGCATGCAAGAAGGCCTATTTCCTGAAGAACTTAAGACAGGGAGAATTAGTCCGATTTACAAAAAGGAAGATGAACAGCTTTTAGGAAATTATAGACCCGTATCGACACTACCTGTTTTTGGGAAAATACTAGAAAAACTGATATATGCTAGGTTGTATAGTTTCTTAACCTCTAAGGGAATAATTCATGAAAACCAATTTGGTTTCAGAAAAGGGCATTCCACTAGTCATGCACTTAATTATTCTGTAGAACATATTGAATCGTTAACTAGCAAAAAGCAGCACGTACTAGGTGTCTTCGTAGATCTTTCTAAAGCCTTTGATACCCTAGACCACTCTAAGCTAATAACAAAATTAAATAACTATGGTATCCGAGGAAATGCTCTAAATCTTATCTCTAGTTATTTATCTAATAGAAAACAATTTGTGGACGTTCTTGATGTAAAATCTGATGAATTACCTGTAGAATTTGGAGTCCCCCAAGGGAGTGTGCTCGGACCTCTACTGTTCATACTGTACATAAATGATATTTGTAATATAACAAGTCTAGGTAAATTTGTTCTATTTGCTGACGACACTAATATATTTGTTGCAGCCGACTCAAAGGATAAGGTATATGACATGGCTAACAAAATACTGCAGGCTGTTAATAAGTACATGATAGTAAACCTACTACACATTAATGTAAAAAAGTGCTGTTACATGTACTTCTCTCCAAATAAACGTAACAATAATGAATTAGACGCCGATATAGATAGCTATTACCTATCCATGAATAACAAGGTAATCAAGCGTGTTAGTCAAACTAAATTCCTTGGAGTAATTATTGATGACAAATTAAGTTGGAAACCACACATACAATCTCTTAACAAAAAACTAAGCAGTGCTTGTGGACGTATCTACCGTATTAAGAAATGCTTACCAGAATCACTATATAAACAAATTTACCATTCTCTCTTTGAATCACATCTCGGTTTTGCTATTTCTGTCTGGGGAGGTATTCCTAATATCCAGTTAAAACCACTATTTATTACTCAGAAGAAATGTATAAGAATTCTATTCGGAGACCATAAAAGGTATGTAGACAAATTCAAAACATGTGCTAGAGTTAGACCGTTCGGCTCCCAACGTTTGGGTTGCGATTTTTATGTTAAGGAGTCTACCAAACCTCTATTTGCAAAACATAAATTACTAGCTGTAGAGAACCTATATAGACTACGTTGCCTAATGGAATTTTTTAAGATAATTAAGACAAGAGTACCAATTTCAATGTTCTCTTTGTTCACCATATCTCATAGGAAAGACAATATGTTAATCACACCTTCTCCAACTAAACAATTCATCTATAAATCAGCGTGGCTGTGGAATGAGTTTTGTAAAATTGGCTCATTTAATTTTAATTCCTCTTGTTCTTCTGTTAAGAATAAATTACAAAAGTCATTGATGAATGCCCAAAACAGGTATGGTGCTGAATGGAATGACAAAAATTTCACTGAATTCTAAGTTAAACACAATATAATCCAGGTATCGGCAGGCGCTGCCGCCAAACGACATTATCATGCATATACTTCTTTATTTTCAGCAGCTAGTATGTTAGCGCGCATAACAAGGCGCGCTAGCATTTTACCGCCATTCTAGGTTTCACTGATTTCACAATACACAATACACAATATGTCCAATTTGATTCTAATTGTTGCTCCTAATCTGATAATTCTAATGACAGTGACTGCTCCCTATTAACCAACCGACCAACATTTTCGGTCGAACCCTAAAATTACTAATACCAAATTTAAACCCCACATATGCGTGTATAGTCTCCAAATCTTCTCTCTGCTCTCGGACTTTGTTCTTTTGAATAGAACTGTTTGTATACTTTAACAAATAGTGATTTTAACTTTGAGATAAACTGCTAGATTATTATATTTTTGTACCAATGTTCACCTAACTTAACGTCTCTCACTGACACCATCACCCGGCAACCAATTTTAAAGTATAATTTATTAACGATCTGACTACAGACTGGCGGTCAACGTTCCCCGTATAGTAGCTCAACGGAGGGGGTAATCAGGGCACGTGTTAATGAAAAATGTACGTGTCCTTCCACAATCCCCTCTGTTGGGTCACACGTTATTGGGAACTGAGATCGCTATCGTGTAACTAGAAGCAGTATATGCAAAGTAACTTAGGTGATAGGTGATAGGCAATATGAAATTACACATCTTACTTTAACTTTATCCCGTCACCCATGGACTTATCAATTAACGGCTGGTGGTGGTGTCATCGTTTGTCGTACTCAAAACGTTTCGCGGTTGCGAATGCCGGCCCATCGAGGAAAATCTTTTTACTTTGTATTTTAACCATTATAAAGTGTGATTAGTCGGATATAGTACTGAGTTCAAACAGTCCCCGAAACGAAAAAGCAAACATTTGATTTTTGTTTCGGCGACTGAATCGTTGATGGGCCGGCAAATATTTGTTGTCGAGTAGTGTTGAATACTCATATTAACATGATTATTGATTTAATTTAGGAATTGTATATAAATATCTTTGACCAAGTTTAATTGTTAATGAGAATGCACCCCAGCACTGGGCGCGCGCGGCGGCTTTGATGTTAGCGGCTACAAGCTTGAAGCTAGGCAGCTGCAGAAAAAATGCCGCGCGCGTTCAGCGTGGGGCTTTTCGTTTTTGATTTTACAAATGACAAAGCAACTTTTAATGATTATTAATGGAATTATCGGATATTTATAATTCAATATGTATTGATTCTTCTGTGGAAAATAAAAATTGTATTTTACTAAATTGTATTTTACTAACATAGCCAAGAAATGCATTTGTGGCAAAGATAACACCTACAACCACATTTTCATTTGTAAGAAAGGAGGTTTTGTCAACAGCAGACACAACCGACTGAGAGACACCATTGCAAGCATTCTTGAAAAAATCTGTAATGAGGTTGTTGTAGAGCCCACACTCCAGCCATGCACTGGAAAAAGCCTTCGCCCGGGTACCATTCTGGATGATGGGGCAAGGCTTGACATTGCAGCTAGAGGTCTGTGGTCACCAATGGAGATGGCATTTTTTGATATCAGGGTTTTACACCCCGGAGCCAAATCCAACGCTAATCACAACACCCCAGCAAAGATGTACAATAAGCATGAGAGAGAGAGAAAGAAAGGAAATATGGAGACCGCTGTGTACAGATCGAAAAAGGAACCTGCAATGGCCTTGTATTCTCGACCACCAGAGGTATGGGCCCACAGGCTACCATGTTCCTTAAACGAGTGGCAACACTTCTGGCAGCCAAGACCAGCCAGGACAAAAGCCTCATCATGGCAAATCTTAGACGTCGTTTGCGATTTGAGCTACTCAAAACAGTTTTGATTGCAGTGAGAGGACACAGAGGACGGTATTATGAGAAAGCAATACCTGTTGACGAACTGGACCTAAACCTGGCACACACCACCAGCGATGAAGACAGGGGTGATGATGTTGATGATGAAGATGAGGAAGTTGATGATGAGGTGGAGAATGTAGAGGAAGAGGTTTCAGAAGAGTGAGCTGAAAAGAAGACAAGATTCTATTCTAATTTATTGATTATTATATTTATTGAAATAAACATATAATATCCATTACTCCAGGAGAAAGCAATACCTGTTGACGAACTGGACCTAAACCTCGCACACACCACCAGCGATGAAGACAGGGGTGATGATGTTGATGATGAAGATGAGGAAGTTGATGATGAGGTGGAGAATGTAGAGGAAGAGGTTTCAGAAGAGTGAGCTGAAAAGAAGACAAGATTCTATTCTAATTTATTGATTATTATATTTATTGAAATAAACATATAATATCCATTACTCCAGGAGTGATGACAGGATATATAAAAAAGTATAGGGAGGTCGACTAGCTTAATAACCCTAGAAAATGTGGTCAAGATTTCAGATTGACAGTAAGCCATTAAACTATCTGGAGGACTCAATGAGTTGAATGGATTTAAGGCAATTGCTATCCTCACTAACATCTTTGAAATCTGTTGAAAGGAAGCATATTTCATTTTTGGTAACATCTTCAAAGGTTGCATTCATTCCCATTTGATTCTCATTTCTCTGAAGCCTTGATATAACATTTGAAATTTGATAGTTTTTGCGCCATGCGAACTCTTTACAAAAACTCAACATGCCTCTAACTTCAAACAATAACTGACTAATTTTCACTTCAGAAGGACATCTTAGAGTGAGTGTTTGTTCAATTTCATTTAACTTGAGGATCACTAAATATCACTTCAAGATAGGACAATCTTGAACAGTGGGACTTCCTGAAAAAATTATGGGAAGCACAAGCATAAGGAATACAACAGCAGTAACCAATATTTTCCTTTTCCTGTCGACAAAATTTATGAACCTTCGATAGATCAAAATATGAGTTAAAGTATGACTGAGCTTGAGCTACACAGGAATCAAGTTCATTCTTTGATCTGGCCCCAATGAATAATTCCATTATGATGGCTCCCTCATCACAATCTAATTTCACATAATCCATTCCTGGGAGACATCAAAGTCTATTCAATTTCACATAGTAAGTGTCCCAGGATCTGATCATAAAATTGGTTGTCACTAATAATTTTTGTATCACGTGGTGACCCCCACTGTCGCTTCACGCGGCGGGTCATACAACGTATGACAAAAAAATTTATGATTGAAGTTGCTTCGAATAAGATACCGTCTTCTATTCCAAATAACTTCGCTGTCTAGAAGTATCATATTAGTATTCCTGTGTCCTAAAATTTGTGGCAATTTGTTTGTCTCAATATCATGCATTGAGATAAACAATGAATTATCCTTTTTGAGTAAGTTTTGGATTTATACCAAACAGTGAGCAAAATCTGATCTCAATACGTCGCAAATCTGCAATCTGAAGTGGACCTGTTTGGAAATGTTTCACAAGTTCAGACGGCGGGCGCGCGCTCTGGTTCGATCAAAATGCGCTTCTCCGGATATTGCGGTGCGTCGAAAGTTATTTTCAAAGATTCTCGTTCAATTCAGTCTGAAACTCTTTTACTCGATGAAGAATCGAGGAAGTAATAGAACTATTTAATACGTGCCAAGAAATTAGATAGTAGATGTGCTTGTCATGGAGATATATGAATTAGGCATTAGCACACCCTTTTCAAATCGTAAACGACGCGCCGCGCGGGTCGATCACTTAGCTTGCCTCATTTCAAGGTGCGCGCGCCGCGCGGCCGTACTGTTGCGCAAAGCTTATTGTAAGAAGAGCACCGCGCGCAACGTTTATGTACATCTCTGAATACACCGATGGGTGACCGGACTTTTCTTCTCATGAAATGAGAGTGTCTATCTACAATCCATGCACCACTCACACCAGTGATTTAGTGCCAAAACATTTTAAACTCCTTTTCATTCATGAAATGGTATAATACATTTTAAATTTAGAAGTATTTTTTCTTGATTTTGACCATTGAATTGAAATCCGAGTTTTCAGACATAAAGTTTTCAGGCATAAAATTGATTCTGAACCAAAAATCTGCAAATGATAAAAACAGGTTAACTGTCAATAAATAAATAATTTAGGATAAAAAGGTTGATTGAAAATTTTGCTGATCCTTACCAGAGGCTCAACAGTATAAAAAGTTCAAGTCTTCACTAAATGCATGATGCTTTATTTGGAAATGCTTCAAAAGTTCATATAGCAAGTCAGGATTCGTCAAATCCACTTTCAGCATCGTCTCCATCCCTACGATCGTCGTGATCTCTTGGTTCTCGGGGCTCAGCGTCTTCTCCGATTTGTAACAACATATCAATCTGTGGGGAATATTAAACATTATTTAACATACCGTGATTCCGCAGTTGCTGAAAAATATTTCAACGTAAATACTGTACTACCCATGCAATGGTAGATGATTCCAATATAAAAGACAACAAAGATTTTAATTCGAGTAAAATCTGTGATTTTCAATTGTTGGTGAAGTTTGCGGTTTACAAAGAACGGACATAGTTTATATTTAACGAACATACCTGTAAACATAAATCACCGATTGAGTCCTCATCCTCAATATTTAAAGGAACAAAATGTACCAAACTGTAATCGTCTAGTAGTCTGGCTAGAGCTCTTGATAAATTTGCGTGCCTAAATGAAGATTAGATCAATTTTGTTAAACAATTTTTTCACAATACATCAAAGTTAATTAAACTTTTGAAATTAAGACGTCTAAAATCACATTCACACTGTATATTAAAACTAAATCAAATTAAAATCGTTTCAACCCTGGCGCCTAAAATGTTGAAGTTTATTTTTGACTTACTTTTTGTTAGTGGTCCGATGAAGAAAATCAGTCATGGTGTCCTCATTGGGATCAAGCCATCTTTCTAAAGAATCTCTGTCTTTCGTAGATAACAAATCAATCTGTAGGTAATAATAACATGGTGTTTACTGGGAAGGTGTTCCATCAAACGATAAAGTGCAATTCGATAATATTTTCTTACTCATGAAACAAACACCAGGAAACGCCATACACAGTGCGTCTAATCTAGATAAAAATATCAGATTTCATACAGTTTCATTTTCAAATTCTAAAAGGTGACCAAAAAACAAACCTTTGAGAGAACGTTAACATGCGGCAGATGAAGTTGCACCATAGCACTGAGTGCTGAACACATTCCAGCTATGAACTTGCTCGGTTCTACTAAGAACTGGGAGTCCAGCAAGTACACCGCACACACCCTGTAATAAACCATAACATAAAACCAATAATCTTCTCTAATAGCAGATCGTTAAATTGTAATCTGAGAATGAAATCTGAGTCTCCGACGCAATAATTACCAAATGATGAATATAATATAGAAATATGATAATATGAAAAGCCCAAATACTTGTAGAACTATAATAACCTGATATCCCATTGCTCTAGGGTGGCGACAAAACGTCCCATTATGTCCAGGTGTGTATAAATCTCTATCTGACCGGGACAGTCTATAATAAAGTAATCATCGTCCACTTCACCCAAACATTCTTCCAACCAATGCGTGTTTTGGATCAAATATTCCATACAGAAGACTAAACCACCATTCGGACCAAACCTGCAAAATATACGGTTAGAATAGTGATTAAAATGTAAAACCATAATATGATCTGAGTTTAAGAACACACTAACTTAACACTAAAATAACCACAGAACACACTAACTTAACACTAAAATAACCACAGAACACACTAACTTAACACTAAAATAACCACAGAACACACTAACTTAACACTAAAATAATCACAGAACACAATAATTTAACACTAAAATAACCACAGAACACACTAACTTAAAACTAAAATAACCACAGAACACACTAACTTAACACTAAAATCATAGAACACACTAACTTAAAACTAAAATAACCACAGAACACACTAACTTAAAACTAAAATAACCACAGAACACACTAACTTAACACTAAAATCATAGAACACACTAACTTAACACTAAAATAACCACAGAACACACTAACTTAACACTAAAATAACCACAGAACACGATAATTAAACACTAAAATAACCACAGACCTCAGCTCGTTATCCTCCATTACATCGTCCACAGATATGAGCTCTCTGATATCACACTGCACCGGATACTTAAAGTGCTCTGCAGCTGGGTCCATGTTGATACAGTGAACTTTGCGGCGCAGTGTCGCGTAATGCTGTTCCACAGTGTTGACATATGTTGATTTCCCAGCACCTGCTGGCCCCATTACCAGTTGTGCGTAGCGAGGCATTTCTAGGTTTTATTAGGTTTTCTCAGGTTTTCTACATGTTTTGGTAGACTTGTTAGGCTGCTTGGTGGTTTAGTGGATGAGAATCTGTACCATGTTTAAAGAAACCATAAAGTCACATTCGAAATACAGTAAACGAATATCGTTTCATAATGATACTTATATTCATTACAGCATGCAAGATGCTATTTCACAGAATAACGTTTGTTATATTGAGAATTGTTTGTAATGAAGAAATTTATATTCATGGTATCATGACGTCAGATGACGTGCCAGCTGTGACAATAAACAACACATCCGTATATAATATATAATACAAGTAAAATGTACAATAAATTCGGCAGAATTGAGCAAGTATTGCATCATACCAATATACAATGGAAAGTGTCAAATATCAGCTATACAAAATTATCACAGAACGTTATGATACAATAATTCACATAAAAATGTAGATAGTAACTGTGCGTAGTTTTATTTTCGTGCACTATTGAGATGGAAGATAAAGATTGCAAATATACTATTTTATGTCAGATAGGGTAAAAAAGAAACCGGGTTCAATCATTCAAATATTATAAAAAAACAAAAAGTAAGCCTTAGCATATGCTAACGGTATTTCACTTTTAAAAATAACCTCATGTCCACATGTTTAAAGTTAATTTAAATGTTCGCATCAGAAGTGAGAGATGTTCTCACATAACAATCTTACCACTTTACCAGTTTAACAACATATTACCATAACATACATACAACGTTGAAAAACCCATAAACATAAGAATAGCCAATATTATAAGAAAATAAACCCTAACATCTTGTCACACCACATGACACGCTTACTTAACTAAATCCTTATAATCTCCAAGAAGTCCCAACTCTTGCCCGACTTCCAAAACACATTTTGTCTATCATCAATGGTAAAATAAAGCTCATCACCCTCCACCACACTTACATTATCAATAACAAGGAAATACCAACTGGGTGTGTCAGTAGGGACTATTTTAAGGTTCTTATCATTATAGTTGTTGTAGGACAGGTCCACCTCTTTACCCTGGGATACATCCCTCCACACACCCGGATGTATAAAGTTGTGCCGCACCAGCTCATGTGTCTTACACTTCAACAGTCTGACCACCATGGGCTTATCCCCCTTCCACACCACATCAGACCGTATCTGGAGGTGGAGCCTGATACAGTAGGAGGCAGGGTACACTTCAGAACAGAACTTAGGGAGGTTGGTGCAGAACATGAGCCAGGATATCTCCTTGAGGAAGACTACCTCACGTTGGAGCTCCTCGTTGTATTTCAGGAACACGTGGTCGGTGTCACCCAGGTAACTGAACATGTGGGAGGAGATAATGCTGACTCGTCTCACGTCTTCTGAGTTGTTGATGTGGTTCAGGATTGCGTGGTACACTGGCAGTTTCTGGTAGGTTATATCGGGGGTTTGTGTTATCACCCTCAGGAATCTCTCGTATAATTGCCGCTCTTTTGGGAGTAGGAGAGATTGGTTTTCCTCAAAAAAGAGTTTGATCTGCAGGTCTCTGCCAGCAGCATTACTCCAATGAAGCAGGTAGTCAGATGTCTGCTGATGCAACACAGCTGATGTTAGACACAACTGGGAATGGTCTGAGGGAGAGAGGAAGGACAGGACATGCTCGAACAGGAACCCGCCTAGATCCTCCAGCATCTTGTCAAGATATGGGGAGATTTGTGTATTTTACCATGGTTTATAACATCCTGGTGAGATTGTAAAAGTTAGATGTTGGTGAAGTTACAATCGTTAAATTGTAACAACATGACAGCGTTGCTATTCTAAAAATGCAACGTAATTCCCGCAAGATTTAAGTCAGCAATTAAATTCTAGCTAGAGCATAGACTGTTAAGACTTATCTGCGTTATTGAATAGCAATCAGTTACTGATGAATCAGTTCAATTGAACCGGTAAAATATTTAAAAGGGTTTCGATTTAAATTAAGCAGATCACCGAAAATATATTAATTATTTATAGCTGAAACTTAAATAAACAGGAATGATTATAAAGAGGGTCACTAAACAGTAAATATCCTAACTTCTGTTCCTACTAGACTGACCAATACCCTTACTGCTTTGATCTTCACCTAGCCCCTCAGCAATCTCAGCAAGTTTCTGAAGTTGCCAGACTCCGCTCACTTTCCGATGTAGCTCCATAAAATATTCAGGATCAGCTAAATAGTCTGAAATACCAGTCACTTCGACCTTGTACCTGTGGTCAGTTATAACTCCTGACTTATAATTGTAAGTTCTGATCTTATCACTCCGATCGCCTTGCATGGCTTGTGATTTCTTAGTCTTTTCTGTTGCGGACAAATTCGCCTCAATCTCTTCTCTCAACAAAATATCACTGAGTTTCTTAAGGCATTCCTTCTTATTATCTTGAGCAAGTCTACTAGTCTGATTTGTAACTGTTATACCAGAAGGTTTGTGCACCATGCGGCATTTAGAGTTAGTTCTCTGAACAAACTGCCCACCCGGCCCACTAGCTCGCATGTACGTACACTCCAAATCCTCCTCATCTATCTTTATCTTAATATCGTGAGGTTTCTTCGTTACAATGACGATAGCAGTAGAAGTGTGAACTCTGGTGTCGTTAAGCGGGACTCTTTGTACTCTGTGCACGCCTGCCTCAAACTGAAACACACCAAGCGCATCAGGACCCGAAATACTGACAACAACACGGGCAATGCCAATCTCACCGCGAGCATCCTCTTCCAGAACAGACCAATTACATCCTCTGCTTGCAGCAATATTTTCATACATTGTAAAGAGATCGTTTGCAAATACCGATGATTCTATACCGCCAGCTGCCATACGAATTTCAAGGAAAATGTCGTCTCCTGATGGTTGCAATGACTCCATAATCTCAGCTTCGATATCGTTGTACGAAGATTGCAACACGCTGTCCATTGATACGATATCAGTTCGCGCTATTTCCTCCATTTCCGGCTCATTCAACAGTTCATGACACTCTACAATTATATCGAGTGTATCACAGTACTCTTTATAAGCAGTGTACAGTGTTGAAAACTTACCAAGGAACCTCTCAGAGGCCTGACTGTGTTTCACAAGTCTTATCAAACTTGCGTCATCGTAATCTTTCTTTATTGTCTCTAAATAGAGCCGCTGTTGTGAGGATAATTTGTCAAACTTTTCTATGATATCAATTTGAGAGTGGCTTGATTGACTGATATTTCTAAGATGATGTTTTGTAGAGTTTTGGTGTTTTGCAAGAGGATTTGGTAGTAGATTGTAGGAAGTGTTGTACAACGAGCAGCAGCATCTACGTATCATTGTATCATTGTACCTGTAATATGTATGAGTAACGTTAAGTATTCGTGAGATAATGCGATATCTAAAAACATAAATGAATTAGTTAATTAGTTAATGTTAAGCTGTAAAGTTCACTTATAGAGACTTTTGAAGAAGCTTTTTGGGATCAAAGATTTGTTTATAATTTATAATTTAGATAGTTTTTGAGGGCAAGAAATTGAACACATGAACTCCACGTTGATATTATAACTAAATTGTAAAAATAATATTTCCAGACGTATTCAGTATAAAATCATTGACAGGTCAAACATATTGGGTTATTCGTTCTTCAAAATTACTAAACATAAATTACAAATATCTCGGTTGATCTGCATGCGACATATATGTTTAAAGTCAGGTAAACTTGTAATTAGTATATATTATCCACTAAATTCAAAAAGACAATTTAAAACTAAAATAACTCTGAAAAACTCATGCTTGACCATTTTATAAACGAAAAAAGTAAGAACAATTTAAAAGGTGCTTATAAGTACGCCGACAACGAAAACACTAACTAAAACTGAAATCTCTGTGATAGCACAGTTTAAACGTAGAGGATATATTTATCTTTATTATTTACCGGTGCAATGTAATTAGCTCAAGAGAAGAAAACTTGAAGAAAAATTATTTCATCTTACATAACTTGAGATTCAAACAGTCAAGAGCTAAGGTCACCAAAATGAATACCGTCGTTCATTTCATTATATATTATATCAACTAATACTAATAACTAACATTTAAAACTATCAAATCATCTCAGGTCACACCAACACGAAATTATTGAATTATAAACAGCTCGAATATAAAGTTTCTTAAAAATCAAATTCACAACAACTTTACAAGTAAACAAAACAAACACGCTCAACAAACTAGGAATATTTACCAGAGTACAGAATAATGATAATCCTCTTATCAGAAAACAAGCACATTTTTACAGATCATCATCGTTCAGCCCTTCCATGAACAGTTCATTTTCTTGGTTTTGCAAAGAACTGAAACTTGGTACACGTTTCTTTCGTTCTTCTTTTAGCTTCCTCTCTTTGTTCGATATTGGAAGATAAGACTCAGTCGCTTCGACCCTAGTCAGCTCAAGTTGCTGTCCCTTACTTAAGAGAACCAGTTCATCAAGAATAGACTGCAGGGCCATCGAAATGAGGATGACATTTGAAGACGAGGTCGAGATATTAATCCACTGCAAGACATCCTTCATAACGAGGAAGTGAAGGGAAAGAACGTCTTTCTTCTCCGTGAAAAGAGTCCAGCACTTAACTCTTCTGACGGGAAGTGATATCGTTTTTCCATCTTTAAATACAAGTTTTAACTTCTCAGCACCCCCATACACTACTACCTCTTCTTGGCTGTTTTGATCAGGATAATCTACACTACCAGATCCAAGCATCATATACCCGTACATGCTCTCTGATCTTACCACCTTGATAAACTGTTCCTTCAATCCAGCAGTTTTAAACTGCTTTAGTGTCTTCAGTGTTTCAGCAGATGGCTTTATCCACCTGTCTTCCATGTTTCTTATACTTTCAATGTAAAGCATGTGAAGGGAAACGTTATGCTGCATCAATTGATCATCGTGCTTTTTGTCCCAATAAGATTTTCTTATTTCAATAGAGTGGGACTCATCAAGCGATTTCAAAGTAAGATAGGGACACTCCATATCCTGCAGCCGCCTGACAACACTTTTTTTCTTTGTTTCTTGTTTCATCAGATAGAGAGCAAAGAAAGGGTGATGTTTTGTGTCAATACCAAGAGTTGCAGCCGTGTATCGGAGCACCTCAGGTGTGTAATCTGAACCCGTTATGTCAACTGATATCTTCTTTCCGTCAGCCTGACTAACCGTAATTTTTACTGAATCAGCATCATTTAATTTATTGAATTCCTTTTGGGATTGAATCAAGAAGTCAACAAACAGGTTTGACTTAGCTATCTCAGGTTGCTGGCCAATGGTTTGCAGATAAAGTTCAAGCATTGTTTTTCTTTCCTCTTTCTCGTGGGCACTGAGAGCAAACAACTTTTTAGGGGGGAATTCTGCCAGGGCGCTTGTATCAAACCGTCTCAGAATTTGTTCATTGAGCTTGTGAAGTTGACTATATCTAACTGCTGAATGTGCAGCTCCATTCAAATGTATATCATAGGCAGTGTAAACTGAGCCATCCTCGTCTGAAACTTCTGAACAGGTTGGAACCGAGAAAAACATTATTCAACTTTCTTTGTCATCTTCCTGAGTAAGATATTAGTGAGTTCACTATTCATTTATACAATCGATGATAAATGAAATACAAAATGAAAATTTTAACTATACACTTTTGTTCTAAGCTGGTAAATGACATGATTTACCTAAAACTCACATCTTTGCACTATACAGTATACATCTTCTAATATTTCATCTGGTCTAGCACATAAGGGTACAAACTTCCTTCCCAATGTTACATATTGTGTAAGACAATCGACAAATCTGTCAGTTTTAGTCTATTTATTTAGTCCCACAACTCAGTGGGCTACGTTTTGTGAATGAGTGGGTGGATGGGCAGTAATATTTGTGATTTAATTATCCCTGCTTTTAATATAAGATGCAATCTCGGTCGAGATAGTTCCGGCAATATCTCCTGTTTTTAACAAGCAATGATTGTTTATTTGTGGCAGTAGTTTGCAAGAAAGTGCAAATACATTTTTCATTTCGTTTTAATTAGGCTTTCTTTTGCAACTGATTTGATTTTATTTTTAATTGCAGCCTCTAGTCAAATTTACTAATTTTGATTCTATGTAAGCTGGAAGAATGACTACAGTTGAAGAAATCAATGCCATAATTGCTCATTACGACAATCATCGTGAGTGGCATGACCTTGCAAGAGGAAATGGTAATCTTGGTGACGGTTACTACAATTTTTCTAAAGGAGAATCAATAAATTTGAACATAGGGTTCCCTGAAGCATGCAGGAGGATGACACATTACTTAGGAATGTTAGGGCAGCTCACCACTGATTCAATTGTTCTTGACTTGGGATGCGGAGAGGGAACACCAGCTATCAATATGGCAAAGCAGTTTGGTGAGTGCAAACTGGTGTTTCATTGCTTTGTGATTCCTTTAAAGTTAACAAGTGCTTCCAAGCTTGTTGAGTTAACTTGTAGCTCAATGACTTATTACAAACAATATATAATATAATGAACTTTTTCATGACCATAATGAACTTCAATTGTTTCACAAGGTTGCAAGGTCGTTGGGGTAGATCTCAGCACAAACAATGTGAAAAAGGCAAAATCATTCCTCAAAGAAGAGTCTTCAACTCTTCAAATTGAATTCCATGAGGGGAATTTCTTCAATCTTGAACAAGATTTTCTGACAAGAGAATACACCCACGTTTGGGCCCAGGTAATGTGGGGCCAGAGTAAGAGGACAGAGTATGTATACTGTAAGATGGCCTGACTGTTACTGGTTTCCCCAATCATAAAGCACAGTCAATTCCTTTTTACTTGTGCCTGCTCTAACCAATCTGAGCATTTCCCCAGCTTCAAATTTATTGTCGCCATTGTTTTTATTTAAGTTCAATGCTGTAAAATTAAGTTTCTAATCAAATCATGCAACAGCTGATACATTAAGTTATAAATCCTTCAAATCCTCAAACGACTATGAACATCACCAAAGGAGAAAACCCACAACCCAGCATTGCACTATTTATAATCTGTATTTTCATTTAGACTTAGAGCATGCGTTTAATTACAGGTGTCGTTTTTCCACACACATGCACATTTACGAAAATGTATTGATGTTGCAGCATCTGTACTCAAGCCAGGTGGAACATTTGTACTGGTTGACTACTGTGGACCAAGGCACCCTGGTAAGAAATATGTCTGTAAATTTTGGTCAATCACTTAATGGATACTACTAACAGTTTTCGACTGACTTGAATGTCCTGCAAAGCAGATTGAAGCTTCTTAAATTATTTTTGATTCTTATTGTATTGCTGTGTAAATTCGATTCTAATTCTAATTCTAATTGATGTACATCTCCATTCTCCAATTGTGGAGTGATTTAAATTGCTGCAATACAGTGAACAGCATTTAAATTTCGTGATTTTATTCATTTTTTCGTAGTTAATGAAATGTTTATTCTCATCCACTCTTCCAGTTTTCACTAGAGATACAACAAAAAGTGCTCCAGACATGAATGAATATGTTCAGACAGTTCGTGAAGCTGGTTTTAAGATCATTGTACAGGTATGTGATGTATTGAATGATAAATGTAACTTACTTTGTAGGTTTATAACCTACCAAGGCGCGCGCCGAGTTGGACTCGTCGACGGAACAAATATTTTACGAATATCACCTGTTAAAGCTTACTGCAAATGAAGCAAGTAGAAAAATTGTGTGGTTATGATATTCTTTGCCCTAAAACAATAAAGCTATGTTTCCTTTTAGTGCCATGAATCTAATCAGGAAATTGAAGGTAACAAAAAAATCGAATATGGATTAATTCAGGAGAAGTATATCGTATAATAAGTTGTAATAAACTACAAAAACAAGTTATAGATTAACATACATGCATATTTTTCCATGTAGTGCGATGATACTTTGTAGACATTAGTGATGATGCTATGTCATAATTTTTACTTTATTTTACTTCACTTTATATTTTAGTTAAAAGTTAATGATACATTTTTTTCGCAGGAGGATGCATCACGACATTTTCTAGCTGGAACATCGTTTTTGAGAAAGATAGCCGGAGAGGAAAAGAATAATTTTGAAATAAATTTCTATGATGGCAGAATATCATCTATAAAAGAAGGGCTCATTGGTATGGTTATTGTAATAGCTCAAAAGCAATAAATATAAACACAAAATCATAAGGGCTATTATATGAAAGAACCATAAACAATAAAGTAAGAACCATAAACAATAAGGTAATTGAGTTTATTTGGACAGTAACTTTGTGGTGAATCAATTATTATCATAATGATTATTTGTGATTTGATCCCAATTTAACAAAAAATTAAGTGTTATTACTTAAAACTAGGGCTGGTGCATACTGGGCCTAATTACTGTTATGTGCCGCGCTCAGCCTGTCATTCCGCCAAATCTCTTATATAATAGCTTGGTGCTTGGGGTTCACAGCTAAGAAATATAATTTGATAAGGACGATTTTGTCATGGATGGCCAGAGAATTACTTGCAGACGAATAATTGCTAACAAATTTTGTGAATACTTTACATCTCTTGCAAGCAATCTCAATAGAAATGTATTGTCGAACAATAGTATTTCTCTGGAACCAGTAGAATCATTTGCTCAATTCATGTCTAATTCAGTGTCTGACTCCATATACCTAGAAGAAACTAATGAAGATGAGATTATCGAGGTCATCAGAGATTTTCAAAATGGCAAGGCAAGTGACATACCTATAATAGCCCGGTTCATAAAACAAAAATATTATCCAATAATTACGGCGATAGGCTTATCTGTTGTTCCTTAGGCCAAATAACTACCAAAAAAATTTTGAAGTTTCAACTCCAACCGGAAACACCCCCACATGCCACGCCCATTTTTTTCATCAATTTTTAACAGGTAAAAATCTTCATATCATCAATTTAGGCATGAAGGAGTGCTTTTAGTGCTCCAACAGTTTGGGGTCTAATAGTAATGGTAGAAAAAGGTTAACTTTAGTCAAAGTCTCAAGTCTCCACGGCGCTTGGTTTAGGCGCACCGGATCTCGCGTCTCCGCCTCCGCTGCGTGATTGGTAGCGCCAGAACTAAAGGTCGTAGAGACATGAGACTTCAACTAAAGTTAACCTTTTCCTACCATTTATATTAGAGTAGCACAGATTCAGAGCTCTAAACACATTACTTCATCCTTAAAACGACAATCATATGAATTTTGCCTGTAAAAGTTGATATCTTGATGTCAATTAACATCGTAAGCTTTTAAAACTAAAATTAATTAAATGAGTCATAATACTTCACACAATATTTACACACAATATGAAAATATAAATACAGGAAGTCTTTTGGATTCCACGTCTCCACACCCTGGAACTGTCAGAGGTAAGAACACTAGAACAGTCTTTTATTAATAATCCAACAATCATATTATATGAACCTTTTCAGTTACAACTTCGTTGGTTGCATTGTGTTGCAAAATTTCTTGCATTACAATACTAGTGAAAACAAACATTACTGGTGGAATTTGCCCTCTTCCAAGCTCTCTTACAATGAAGTCGCATTCCAGAGACTAATGTTTATGAATGAGCAGTCACTGTCGAGAACGAGCTGGTCGAGTATTGGGAATATGCCAGCTATGGCGTGGAGAATTTCCCCTCTATACCGTGGAGAATTTCCCCTCTTCATGAATCCTACAAGAATTTAACAAGTATTCCCCCATCTTGGAGAGGGAATCAGTCCTTCAGCTTCAAGAAAATCAGTTTACAGAAGAGATTCATTTAGATTTTAGATCCATTACTGATAACTTGGTAAAGGAATTAGAACCAGATGCTACTTTGTTAGCTAATGCTTGGATATTTATAGTTATTTACTTAACTTTGTCTTGACGTATCAGTAAGAGATTACTGTACCTCGTTATTTACGAAGAAATCATCAGACCTTATTAATAGTGATCGGTGACCCTGTCAGTGACGAGCTATGAAGGAATCATTGGATCTCATTGATATTTGATAATTATCCTGTCAGTGACGAGCTATGAAGGAATTATTGGACCTCATCAATGCTGATCCTATCGGTGACGAGTTATAAAGAAATAAAGAAATAAGGACCTCATTTAAATCCTAGTTTGACGAAAATATTCCTTTGGCAACAAAATTCCTTTTGGCAACGAAGATTAGACAGCTTGCTTGTGAAGACATGGCGATCCGAAAACCAGGGTACCTAAATCAGAACCTGCTGACTTCTTTAAAGGATCAGTTCCACTTTCCAGTGCAGGGACCGAGAAAAGTTCAATGTCGAATCCAAGAGACTTCCTGTATTTATATTTTCATATTGTGTGTAAATATTGCATGTGAAGTATTATGACTCATTTAAATAATTTTAGTTTTAAAAGCTTACGATGTTAATTGACATCAAGATATCAACTTTTACAGGCAAAATTCATATGATTGTCGTTTTAAGGATGAAGGAATGTGTTTAGAGCTCTGAATCTGTGCTACTCTAATATAAATGGTAGGAAAAGGTTAACTTTAGTTGAAGTCTCATGTCTCTACGACCTTTAGTTCTGGCGCTACCAATCACGCAGCGGAGGCGGAGACGCGAGATCCGGTGCGCCTAAACCAAGCGCCGTGGAGACTTGAGACTTTGACTAAAGTTAACCTTTTTCTACCATTACTATTAGACCCCAAACTGTTGGAGCACTAAAAGCACTCCTTCATGCCTAAATTGATGATATGAAGATTTTTACCTGTTAAAAATTGATGAAAAAAATGGGCGTGGCATGTGGGGGTGTTTCCGGTTGGAGTTGAAACTTCAAAATTTTTTTGGTAGTTATTTGGCCTAAGGAACAACAGATAAGCCTATCGCCGTAATTATTGGATAATATTTTTGTTTTATGAACCGGGCTAACCTATAATCGTTGTAAAAAAATCGGCAAAGCTCATCGCTGGTACCTTGGCTAGGCTTTACAACATATGTATACAAAGTGGAACATTCCCAAGTATTTTTAAAACTGGTAAAGTTATTCCTATTTACAAGAAAGACAATAAGGAATGTATTGAAAATTATCGGCCTGTATCAATATTACCTTTATTTGGAAAAATTTTCGAGAAGGTCATTTCAATTAAACAAATAATCAATTAAACAAATAATCAAAGTTTTAGCACATTTTACAGCATAAAATTTAAACAAATGAAAACATATAATGCTCTTAGTGGTAAATGGCTGTTTGTTCTGAGCTGTATGATTTTTTGACAATCAACTAGCGGGGCAAGGAATGTACTGGCTGGTAGCTTTTGTACACACCAGAACGCTAGTCTGGTTGATTAGTGACCAAATTAGAGGCGTTGATAGGAAGGCATTATAATTTGTGGGTGTAAGAGGGAATATTTGGCATGCATTATTCTAGCAGCTATTTTGTAACAAATGGTCTTTACGATTATTAAGGACGGTAAGTATTTTGGGTGTGCAATACTAAATCATGGCTAAATGTCTAAGAGGGGTTTAAATTTAAGGGAGAAAAAGAAATGAATATTGGGTTATAATATTAATCATAGATGTCAACCCTGACATAACTATTGTACTAAAAATTTGATCATAATGCTTAGGGTCTTTATTAGAATTCAAATTGGATACAAAAATAGGATATCTTTACACTACACTTACTCACTCACACATCACATTTAACTTGACAGAGGAATACGCTGGCAGAGTAAGTCGATTTGGTCATGAAATTTTGGAGGTCAGGTGGAATCCCTGCAGGAGCCTACAAAAATTTAAGGTTACATATATTAAAGTCTTTATTTGTCCAGTCATACACGGCATGACAATGCTGGTTGGAAAGTAGTGAAGATTTCAGTTTGGATTTCAGGCAAGAAATACTAACAGAACAATCAAAGATTTTAAGGTTAGGGGTTATTATATTCCATATTTTCGTTGACCTCGTGTTATGGTTGTCTGGGGGATCCGGTTTATTGATAATAAGCATTGGTTTCCTGGAAGAACGAGAATACTCTTCGTACATAGACATAGGAGTAGAAAACTTCATGATCTTGAATAATTCTATGTAGCTATGGTAAGTATAAAGATTTTGTACAGTGAGTATCTCGTTGTTTTTAAACAGAGGTTTAGTGTGCTCCTTTTTATAAAATTTACTATCAAGTTTCTGGTCAGTAAATGGTCTGGTTCGAACACACGTTTTGAATTTATCCAGGTAGGCTGCTCTATCACCAAACAAGACCCTCAGACAGTACTTCTGTGCAGTGAATATTGAGCTTATACGATTTTTAGCTGCCCCACCCCATGCTGATATGCAGTACGACAGATGGGATTCAAAAAGAGTGTAGTATAACTGTCTGTGGAGAAATTCTGGGAGGGAGCAGCGTAGACGACACAGAGTTGAGGTGGCATGGTTAAGCTTTCGTTTTAGGGCTATTATATGATCTTCCCATGTTAGATTTTCGTCAATGACGACTCCTAAAAATCTAGCTGACGTTACTCTTTTGATGGGGTAGTTGTCTATATTCATTATGAATTCTTCTTCAACGTTTGTTTCAGTACGTGACTTAGGTCTAAAGTGAATGTAGCAGCATTTTGACATGTTGATGTGAAGCTTGTTAGCCCGCATGTATGTTTGAAGGTTTGAAAGTAGGGCGTTGCTGCGTTCATATGCTTCTTGTGCAGTTTTACCAACAACAAATATGTTGGTGTCATCCGCAAAGGTGACAAACGATCCCAAGCTAGAGCTATTAGAGATATCATTTATGTAAAGTAGGAATAAAAGGGGTCCGAGAATTGACCCCTGGGGAACCCCAAATTTTATTGGAAGTAGGTCGGACTTTTCTCCTACAACATCAGTGTACTGGAATCGATTAGTTAGGTAGCTCTTGATCAGATCGTTTGCCACGCCACGGATGCCATACCTTTCTAGTTTGGTAAGTAATGTTGAGTGATCTATAGTATCGAAAGCTTTGCTGAGGTCGATGAATATGCCTAACACATGGTGCTTCAATTTGATGTGCTTAGATATGAGGTCAACAGAGTAGTTTACTGCATGGGAGGTTGAGTGCGATTGCCTGAAACCAAACTGGGTCTTAGATATTATTCCCTGAGAGCTGACAAACGAATAAATCCTAGAATATATGATTTTCTCAAATATTTTGCCAAATATGGACAAGGTGGATATAGGACGGTAGTTTTCTATTTCTTCTGGATTACCTTTTTTGAATACGGGTGTGATTCTGCCAGTCTTAAGTATATCAGGGAATATACCATTTGACATAAGTTTGTTTAAGTATCTGCTGATAATTGGTGCAATAACGTGGGACGAAGTTT